GGCCCGGCCCAGCCCTTACCGAGGCTCGTGGGGCGGCCCGCTCTGCTCCAGCAGGTTGAACTCGCAGCTCTGGCTGGCGAACTGCGCGTACTCCAGCAGCCCGCTCACGGGGTTCTTCAGCTGGCACTCCGTCAGCTTCTTGTAGGGCGAGCACCGCGGCCAGCCGTGGCTGTAGAAGGACGGCATCTCCATGATGGCCCGGAACTCGCCTGGGGCTGCGCGGATGCTGTTCAGGTCGTCCGGGATGTCGTCGGTGGCCCACTGGCCGTTTTCAACGTCCACATAGCCTGCTCTGGAGGGGCCGTTGTCGTGAACGGGGGGTTTCGGCGTTACTGGCTCCGGCGTCACGACCTCCGGCCTGCTTTCCAGCTTGAGGACCAGTCCCTGCCCATTCTTCGCTTCGGGGGCCGCCGTGCTGTCCGAGGCCTCTGGCACAGCTGAGTTACAGTGGGGGGGCTCCACGCTTCTTTTGGTCTCGGGGACAGCAGCTTGAGTGGTTTCGGGAACACTGTTCACGTTCCTCTTGATCTGTATCCTCTCTCGCTTCTTGTCAGTCAAATACCATATGGGAGGGGTCGTCCCTTGCCTGTAGACGTCCCCCTGCCTTTCCAAGTCAATCAGTACGGCACTGACGTCCCGGGCCTTCGTGAGGCCAATGTTTTTAGCCAAATTCAGGGCGGAGGAGCTGAACGCATGAAACAGGTACTCGCAGATTCTCTCCTTGATCTCGGCCATATCCAAAGGCTCGGGAGGGCCCTCCACACCAGACGTGGGGTTTCTGTCTTCAGTTTCTAAACTGAGGTCTGAGACTGGGGCTTCCCGGCTCCAGCTGTCTGCTGTCGCTGCCTGGCCGTGCTGGTCCCAAGCCTGAGCCGAGACAGCAGCTCTCCACAAGGGGGGCGTCCCCACCTCCCGGAGCAGCCTGCCCTTCCTTGCCAGAGAGTATAAGACGCTATTGACTTCCTTCTTTGAGGCCTGGAGCCTCCTGGCCAGATCATGTGCTGTGATGGCCTTCCCTGCGCCGAGCTCCTGCAAGAGCTCTAAGACCCTTTGTTCCTGCTCCTGGCTGATGTACAGCTCCTGGAGGCGTGCGGAAAGCGTATCAACACCTCTCCATGGCCGGGTCTTGCCACGTGGGCACAGAGGCCGGAACCCCCTCTGGAAAGCCTGACTTCTGAGAGGCACAGGCCTGGGGACGCCCCAGCTCTCCTGCTGCCTGCCTCTGGCAGGTGGTCCTGGAAACCTTGGCCAGAGTCCAGGGAAGTACGGTGGCAGTGATGGTGTCTGTTTTCCAATTAGAGGCGCTTCTGGGAGCTGCCCCTTGAGAAATTCTATTTGCTGGAGCTGGAAACTATTAGGATAAGCACCCAGCCCTTTCTGCTGGTGTCCGAGCTCGTAGCCTGGGAACGGACCGGGGTATCTGCTGAGGAAACACCCCTGCAGAACGGAAGACGGAAAGAAAGTGATCAGGGCTGCGGTGACAGGCAGGGCCCTGTGGGAGGGGTCGCCCCCGCCTCCTGACGGCAGGGCGGTGGGTGAGACCGCGGCTGGCGACTCAGCGAGGGTGGCCTGCCCACCTCGTCAGCACCGCCTGGGGACCCGCCGAAGTGCGGAGAGTTGCAGTAGGCAGAACACTGAGCTCCCGGGAGCCCACGGGGTTCTGACAGCCCGCTGTGGCCTCGCCAGCCACCTAACTCGTTCTTTTCCCTTCGGCAGATTTTTAGGGAGCTGAGAACGAGTCTTTGTACTCACGGAAACAACTCAGAAAAACAAATAAATGTTGTTTTGTTTTAAAAAGAAACAAAAACAGAACAACCTAAGAGGTCAGAGGCAACAGGGGACCACAGAACAGAGCGCAGCACAGCCGCCCGCCCCACCTCCAACGTCATCCTCCGGACGATCAGAACGAAAGGGACGTAAGTGGAACCTCCGAGGCTGTGACACGGGGAGCCCCCACCCGGGGAGGGGCACTCTCCCTGGGAGGCGGGGTGGGCTGGGGTACCCCTGGGATGGGGCTGTCGGAAAATGTTTTGCTGCCTTCCTGGGGCCGAAGGGCCTGCGTGGTGAGGGCATCAGCCGGGAACGCCGTTTCCTCGTGCCTGACCCGCCTGACCTTCTAAAGGGCGGGGCCTGCAGGCAGCTGTGCCCTCCTGCAGGAACGCCAGCCTTCTCTCCTCCACGGCCCCTGTCGCGACCAGGCGCCGAGCGCTCCTGCCCCCTGCTCATGGCGCCCTGGCTGCCGAGTCCCCGATGACCAGCAGCTCCTCCGGCCGGGGCCACCACCAAACCTCAAGCCCTGAAACCCTTTCCTTCTGGGAGCTGCCCCTTGAGAAATTCTATTTGCTGGAGCTGGAATCTATTAGGATAAGCACCCAGCCCTTTCTGCTGGTGTCCGAGCTCGTAGCCTGGGAACGGACCGGGGTATCTGCTGAGGAAACACCCCTGCAGAACGGAAGACGGAAAGAAAGTGATCAGGGCTGCGGTGACAGGCAGGGCCCTGTGGGAGGGGTCGCCCCCGCCTCCTGACGGCAGGGCGGTGGGGGAGACCGCGGCTGGCGACTCAGCGAGGGTGGCCTGCCCACCTCGTCAGCACCGCCTGGGGACCCGCCGAAGTGCGGAGAGTTGCAGTAGGCAGAACACTGAGCTCCCGGGAGCCCACGGGGTTCTGACAGCCCGCTGTGGCCTCGCCAGCCACCTAACTCGTTCTTTTCCCTTCGGCAGATTTTTAGGGAGCTGAGAACGAGTCTTTGTACTCACGGAAACAACTCAGAAAAACAAATAAATGTTGTTTTGTTTTAAAAAGAAACAAAAACAGAACAATAACCTAAGAGGTCAGAGGCAACAGGGGACCACAGAACAGAGCGCAGCACAGCCGCCCGCCCCACCTCCAACGTCATCCTCCGGACGATCAGAACGAAAGGGACGTAAGTGGAACCTCCGAGGCTGTGACACGGGGAGCCCCCACCCGGGGAGGGGCACTCTCCCTGGGAGGCGGGGTGGGCTGGGGTACCCCTGGGATGGGGCTGTCGGAAAATGTTTTGCTGCCTTCCTGGGGCCGAAGGGCCTGCGTAGTGAGGGCATCAGCCGGGAACGCCGTTTCCTCGTGCCTGACCCGCCTGACCTTCTAAAGGGCGGGGCCTGCAGGCAGCTGTGCCCTCCTGCAGGAACGCCAGCCTTCTCTCCTCCACGGCCCCTGTCGCGACCAGGCGCCGAGCGCTCCTGCCCCCTGCTCATGGCGCCCTGGCTGCCGAGTCCCCGATGACCAGCAGCTCCTCCGGCCGGGGCCACCACCAAACCTCAAGCCCTGAAACCCTTTCCAGCGGGCAACTTTTCATGGAAAGGGCCGGATGGGTCTTCCATCGTAGCGCAGAGGCCACCACCCGTCACCCGCCACCCGGCACTCACAGGCAGGCAGAGGGCAGCGCTTTGCTGACTCCGGCTCTCTGCTGAGGCGACTTCCCCAGTTTGTGTCATCTACAGCTTCTTGACCCACGGGACCCCGCTGTGGCTGTGGCCAGCTCGTCCCTCCTGTCCCCGTTCTGGCCCCACAACCTCCTCATCCAGCCTGGGTGTCACGGCTGGTCACCTGCACCCAGGCCCATTGTCCCCTTTCCTATTCCAGGGCTCCCGTGTGGTGTCGGGGAAGGACGCTGCCTCCGGCTGAGGGGCCTCATAAGCTCTTCCTCTGGGACGTGGGTGGTTCAGCTCACGCACTGGTTCTGTGCGGGGCAAACTCTACCCTTTAAAAACTCCCCTCCTACGGTGCGGGGACACAGCTCCAAAAGCCCCCGCTCACCTCGCTTCCCCTCGTCTGCCCCCGTCCCTTTCGGCCCCCCAGGTCGGTGTGAGGGCCTCTCCCTCCCCCAGGTGGCCTTCATCCACCCCCAGAACCTAAACGCACCCTCTTAAGAGGCCGCGCTCGAATCTACTATCTCCAGCCGCCACCTTGTGCGGAAGTGTTTAAGACATCACCTTCCGACGGCCAAGACGGTCTGTCCACTGAGATACCCACCCGGCCATCAGCTCAGAGGCCACGCATTCCAACCAAACTAATCGCCGCCCTCAGCCCCGTGGCTTCTGCTGCTGCTCTTATCACTGCTGCCGGCGCCGGCCTCCTCTGAGCCGTTAAGGCTCGAACCTGAACTTCCGTGCTGGCCGGCCTTCCGCCCGGTCTCTCACCTCTGACCTTGGCTGCCCGCTCCTCTTCCCTCCGACCGTGCCCTCTGCAGTTCCAGCTCCACATCGCCTCTCGCCTGGGCCACCGCTGCCAGAGCCTCTGGCCTTGCCATCTCTCTACATTCCAATCCAACGGGCCTGCGTCTGCCTCTGCTGTCACCTGCTGCAGGTCTGACCTTTTCCCGACAGATCTCCTTAAATGCCGCCTTCTCCGGGGGATTTCTCCCGACTCGCATCTCCCCTGCACAGGTGCACTGGGCTCCTCCCCACCCCACTCCGGACGCCCCCTACTCGGCGCCTCCTACGCCCCTAACTTCACCCGATTGCAGCTACTGATTTTTTTTAGCAGCACGCACAGATTATAGTTTATCTCAAAAGTGACGAACAAGTATTAGGGGCCCTAGAAATTATACTCAAGTCTCCACTCCCAACATTCCCCAGGAAGGATGGATGGGGGGTGGCAGTCGACTCCACAGTAAGCCCCCGGGGCACAAGGACTACGCTTCGGTTACCTGCACCCCCAGCGCCCAAGGCAGCACCTGGCAGGGTCGATCCTGAGCCAGCTTTTGCTGAAGTGAGGACGGCATGGACAAGGCACCCCAAGGCACCCCAAGACACACAGCCCCCATCTCTTTTCCTGCTCTCCTGCTGCGCACAGCCCCTCCCCCGCCACACTGCCAGGGCTGAGGGGTGTGTGCGCTGAGTGAGAGCCAGCTTGCCAGGCTGAGTTATGGGGACCTCGGGGCTTTCCCGCTAGCTCTTTGAGTGACTTGGTAAAACAACTTTCTTGCAGAGTGGCTAAAGTCAGTTCCTAGCTGAACGCTTTCTAGATTTCAACTGCTACTCGGCGGCCAGCACCCGCAAAACATTTGAATTCCCATCTACACGAGAGTCGAGTAAATCGTGACACATTCACGCCACGAGAGAGCACGCACGGGTAAAACAGTGCTGCGACCTAGTTAAACGCCCCGGGAGAGCACCGAGGAATAACGTCCAACAGCGACAACACAAAAGCAGGCCGCAGAGGAACACGTCCGTGCGCTGAAGCAGGGGACAGCCGCGAACCCGTGCGGGCTGTGTGTGCGGCGAGTGCGGAGCACACGCTCGTCTGACAGCAATCTCAGGGCCAGATTCGAGGGGGAGTATTAATTACTTCTTGACACGCCCCCTGGGCTGCCCTAAAAGCAGAGGGAAACCACCACCTGAGAACAGCCCCCGGAGCGCCAGCGGACGCGGGTGAGTGCAGGAAAGTGGGGGCCCAGCCCCGGCCGTCACCCCCAAACACTCCACATCACCTCCTGCATACCAAGCCAGTGGACACCCACTGCCCCGCGAAGCTTCGCTTCCATCTGTAGTTCATGCATTTAGGGTCAAGACATGAGCCCACCGTGGCCACGTGGGCTCTAATGGGAAATATGCTTGGAGGCGTGAAAATGCTTTTCCTTCAAGTCGGGTGTCCCTCATCCTTTTAAAGGAGACACACCCCTATAAAAATGTACATGTGCATGTGTATGGATATATGTCTCTTAAAAAATGGACGCAAGTGTACGTACGGTAAAGCTTATTCTTTTTCATCTCTAACTGTGAGCTCTGACACGGAGTCAAGGCTCGCTGGCTGTCTCCCACCCCCATGACCCAGATGCAGAGCCTTGCGCTCCCCAGAAGTTTCTCGGCTCTTTGCAGTCCAGGCCTCCGCCCGGGGCCGGCCGGCGGCCACAGGTGTGCTCTTTGTCCCAGAACATCACGGGGACAGACTCAGAGGCACTTCTGCTGCGTGCTGCGCACACAGCCGGCCCTTCCGCTTTCCGCCAAGCGTCAGTTCAGTGTCTGGACGAAACCCCTTTTGCTTATGTCGCCGCCTGCTAAAGAACATTCGGGTTTTCCCAGTTTTTGGCAATAACGAGGAGCTGCCAGAAAGTGTTCCCTCGGGTCAAGAAGGCGTCTGCTTTCCGCGAAGTCTCCAGGAAGTGGAAAAGCGCCGACGGGAGAGGGTTAAGTACCGTCCAAGCGGGGCCGGGGCGGGGCGCAGCTGGTCTCCCAGAAAGGGAGGGCGCCCCGCCTTGCCCGGGGCTCGGGCTCTCCCCCCATCGCATCGCCCCGCGCTGTGCACTCGCGGCGCACGCTTGTCGCACACCTGTCGCTGTCACACCGAACGCAGGCGCGAGTGGGGCGGCGGGGCGGAGCTCTGGGCCCGGCTGCCGCTTACCTGTCTCGGCTCCATGGCGCCCGTGAGGCATGTCCCGGCAGCGCGGTGACCGTCCCCAGGCGCCACCCGCCCCGCGCGGGCCGTGGCTCCGGGCCTGGCCTTCCGCTCAGCCGTGGCCTCCGTGGGGACTGCAGGACACCGCCGCAGGAAACGGCGGGCCGGT